GGCGAAAATCTACTAGTTCACTCAAGAAGGCCTTGTTAATTTCATGCCAAGATGGTGTGCCGCAGTCATTAAAGCAAATGGATATGCAACGAAGTATTAAAAAATTTGCTATATTTTCAGTGATGGTTTATAGTCTCAAAATTTTTGATCTCCATTGTTTAAGTTCTCATTTGGTGTTTGTTTAATTAAAAATTTCAAGTCTATCATTAGTTGGTCCCCATGTAAGATAACTAAAGCTACAAATTGCAAAATTATATCATTAAGAAGTTTTGCTTACAGAAAATATTAGAATAGAAAAACGCATCGTCTGAACTTTTTTACTCCTTACTCTAAAAGTGGATGTGTTACTTAAAAACATTAACACTTAAAGTAGATTTTTAGAACTTCAGGTCAGTTCGAAATATTTCCATGGAAATAAATTACTGTACACTCCCGATTATCCGTGCGCGGATTATCCGGCTTGCGGATTATCCGTGCTCATTCCGGAGTCAAACAAAAAATTTGACAAGAAACATTTTTACGATTAAAAAATTTGATTCATGAAGTTATAACACTAAAAATTTTTTAGAAGCAATATTATTGGATTGCAGTATATGTAATATCAGCAGCATAGTCAAAGGTAAAATCATCTACGTTATTACGATCGTGGAGAAAGATCATACCGCTTGATGAACAATCTTTAGATATTCAAGAAGAATATGATAATAATATTCTTGAGCAAGCAAAATAAATCTAAGGTTTCGAAATTTTTGATGAAGAAAATTTAGAAGATTAGTTTCAAAGTGTGAGCCTGTCTTCCTGTATTTGACAGATGATGACATCGTTACTTGTTAAATCAAACAGTGATGATAGTAACTGATGCAGAAGATGTAGTAAATGAGGAAAATACAATTTCTCATTCTGCTGCTCTGCGGAAACTTTATTAGATTATACGGGAGGATTTTACATTACTGCGGTTTGTAAAATATGTGTCAATATATGGTAAAGTTGCATTAAAAAAATTTTTAGGCAGCAAACGTTAAAAGGAAAATTCCTAATTTGATGTTATACAACGTGCAAGTATCAGTAATTTTTCTATTTTTTGTACTGGTATTGATTTTTTTCTTTAATAAAAAGGAGTTTTCGGATTATCCGTGTTTTTCAATTGTCCGTGCGACCTGTCCCGGGAATTAACCCGGATAATCGGGAGTGCACTGTATTTAAGTAAAATCTATTGGTTAATAAATATATTTAAAAGTGCTTTTTTTAATGGTGACAGAAAATACCTAAATCTTAAAACTAATGTAACGTAGACATTGCCTAATTTCTGAAATATAAATATAATGCGCAATTAAATTAAAATATGGATGTTTTATTTTATATCAATTATTTTAGTATTATATAAATAAAATTACATTTCATACAATTACCGAGTGATGAATTGCATTTATCATTTAGGAAAAAAAATGCTTCTGAAAAAAATTATCGTGTTTAACTCGAACATTAAGTTAGTTTAACTCTAATACAAAGTAACAGTTTTTTGAGGAGATTAATCTGTAAAATATTCATTCAGCGTTTTAGCTTTATTTTCTAAGAAATATTGATGCTTAAAATTAAATGTATTTTAGCATATGAAATAGAAATTTCTAATCTCATTTGTATGAAATATTTTGTTTTCACGGTTCAAAACAGCTTATAAACTAAAAGTCAAGCTGTTTCAGAACTTAATCTATTAATTAAGAAAATTAACGATGATAATAATTTATGCGAAGCATTAAATAAAATATAGTATTTATATGGAAACGCCCTTAATAAAGCAAAGTGTTTAACACGTGCACTAGTAACTTGAAAGTTAAAAGACAAACAACTAAAATAATTAGATTCTTTTTATAAAAGATGTTTCGTAATCATCTCCGTAAATCTTAAGCAGAAAAAGTATAAACACACATTTGGGGTCACCAATATTTAAACAAGAATTAAGCAAATAAGCAAGCAAAACATGAGAAATCATTAATGAAGAAGACTAGTTTAAAAATATCATCACCAATGTAATTTTCGCAAGAAACAGAGAGGCGATAAAAAAAAATACTAAAAGAAAAAATTCTAAGTTTTAATTGACAATCACCCATCTTTGAAACTTTTCATCCCGCCTTCCTCAGTAGTGACTCATCAGAGTTTTGATGACTCTGGGAATAGAACGCTCGCCTCCCAATGCGGTGACCCGAGTTCGAATCCCAGTGATGACTGGTCGATACGGATTCCGCACCCAGCCAGCGCTGTCAACAGTACTGACGTAAAGTATCCTCAGAGGTTGACGGATCGTGGGTTTCAGTACCCCTGCAGTCACGCTAACCGTGGGAGTGTTTTTGCTGCTTTCCTCTCCAAGCAACGCAAATGTGGGTTAGTTCCATCAAAACGTTTTACGTGAAGGCGAGTTTCTTCCAATACTTGATCCAAGAGTTCCCCTGTCTTCTGGATTGGGTCCAAAATTAAGAGGCTACGGAGTTTAACATTGGTAGTTGTAAACTCAAAAATTGGGTCGACTGTTCAACAACGGTTATAAAATAAAATAAAATAACTTATCAGAGTTTACTATAGTTTATGTTTTTTACTAGCTAAAATATAATTTTGTCCCCTCTTCTGTGCTTCCTTTTTCCTCTTTCTTTTCTTTTTTTGTTTAATTTTGGCAAGGAGTCAAAAAATATAAATTAAGGGCAATGAATATTTAATCGTCAATTGGAAGCACAACTTTTAATTACTCAGCAATCTAAGCGTTATGCTAAGTTGTTATGCTTTTAATAACACTTTTCTTTATAGTGATTCATCAGAGTTTATTATTTTTTTCTAACTTAAATATTATTTAGCGATCCCGACATTTTCGCTCAATTATGAAAGACATTTTGAGGAGCCTTTTCTTCCTATGGAAATATGATATTTTCTTATAATGTTTTCACTTATTATATTATAATATTTTCCAGCTTTGAAAAATGATTCTCTTTTAGCCTCAGATTTTCGACTTAAAATAATTATGATATTTTTTTCTTTTTCTGTCTTCATTCCTAAAAACGAATATCTTAAAATTTTCTAATTTTTTTCTTCAAAATTTTATACTTTAGTTTAATTTTTATATTTTATGTTCACAGATTTTTAGAATTGAGAAATTTTTGCTTTTAAGGACCGTGTTTAAATAATAATTTTAAATTGTTTACATAATTGTTATTTTCTAATTCTGTAATTTTAATTTGTATGAATTTTTTTCGTGTGAGTCGCTTAGAAATGTGTTAATCAGCAGAATAAACATAACAGTATAAACTTGCTCCTCATCAAAATAAACTTAAAAATAAATGTTGTCGAACTTTCAATATTAAATATAAAATTTCAGAATAACAATGTAACTTTTTTAGTCAAATTAACAAAAAAATTTCAATTGTCATCGACGTGGGGTCCCTTAGAGTCATATGAATGTGTGACTCTGTGCAAATTCCAAGTCTGCTCCACTCTTTCTACATTTATGTACAAATGACTCAATATTTGGACTGTAGTATTTGGAATATTTTAAAAATCACACGTTTTAACCCTTTAATGCAGAATTTTTATTCGATGAATTTTACATATTTTTTTCATTATTTTGTTTAAATTTAAGTCAAAATAAGATAAAAATATTATACTTAGAATTTCAATTTCTGATTATAAAATACAGCATGAAACAACTGCGTCATTTTTCTGAGTTAAAAGTAAAATCTTCAAAATACTGCTCTCTTCCTAACAATAACTTTTCAAATTTGCACTTATTTGCAGTTATTTAGATCTAAGAGAAACAGTTATTCGCCGCTAAAATTTATTTAATTTACAAAATCAATTATTAATAAATTTTTGAATAGGAATAAAAAAAAAAAGATTTTAAAACTACCTTTTTTTGGATTTTATATTTTAATACAAATATAATCGCGATAATCTAAAGGTTTTTTTAGTAGACTGTTTCTTTTAATTAAATAATACAAAAATGTATTTTTTCCTGTAAATAGAGAGTCATAAGAAATAGGACATCGGTGTCCTTTTATCTATTTCCAACGACTCTCTATAAGACTCTCTAATAGAAACTAAATATAGGCCTACACATAGGATCATAGCTGCCTATTGCAAGCATGCACATGGATGATTTTTATCTATTCTTTATGTATTTAACTCATTTGAAAGAAATTTTATTTTTCGCTGTATCTAATAATGAATAGTTTGATTTAGCAATGCTTCAAAAGTGAAGAAAGAATTACAAGCTGTATTTTTCTAGAGCAAAATTATTTTATCAATTTAATTTACTAAGCACTATCTAAATACATGATATTCTTTGAAATTCTACATCATAATTTCAAGTTATTTGAAACATAATCTAGATAATAGTTTTAAAAATATAAAATATAAAAACAAGAAAAAAACGTTATTATAATTTAGTTATTCTTATTTTAAAAAATATATCTAGGAACTAATGCTTCCATATTTTTAATTAAAATTTTTTTAATGGAAATTGTAAGTTATTAAATAATTATTACATGCATGCACATGTAAAGAACAGTGAATATGTTACTGCGAATGAATGAAATTGGTGGCTTTTGACTTCAACCGATGAATATTGACAATCACATAGTCGATTTGGTAAATTTCCGAAACATATATTCTAGGTTCAGCTAAGTGCCACTGCCCGGTATGCCCTATATCAATGTTTTTTTAAGATCAAGTGCCATTGCCCAGTATGCATTTAACAAGTACACCGAACACTGATGTTTCTCCTAATCCATCCTCAGCAGATATTAAAATATAGAATAAATATAATAATATCAACGAATAAATTAATATCAAATCAGATATAACAAATATTTTGGACATTCACCAAAGCGACTATGAGATTATTGACATTCACCGGTGAAAGCCGATATTCTCTTGATTTCAGTAATTCAGGGTATTACAATCAAAAACAGCTGAAAATGAACTGATAACTTACTGAACACATTTCATAAGAGCATTCATTAAAAGAAAAATTATTTATTATAAGGAATAAGTTATTAAATAACCATTACATAACATACATAAAGAACGGTGGATATGTTACAAACTAAAATCAGTTGAACTTAAAACTTATTGAATACATTTCATAAGAGAGCAAGCACTTTACAATGGAAGAGCTACGAAATACATACATCACATATGGAATTGTAATTCGCAAAGTACAAATAAGTTTCATGTATAATAAAGCTATATAATAAAATTCAAAATATACATTGATGTATATATATATATATATATATATATATATATACTATATTATTTATGTATACAAATAAACAGTTTTAAGCTTTAAAACAACGAAAAGCAAATTTTTCAATTAAAAAAAAACAATTTTTGCAGATAATAAAATTATTTTGGTCTAGCTGTAAAATCAAATAACAGAAAGAAGCACCACTTGTTGCTGAAAATTTGACATCTCACAGTTATTTGATTATTTTATGAAGGACTGGAAGAATTCATGGAATAACTTCATGGAAGAGGATTTTAAGTGACATTTTAGGGAATTTAAAAACATCAGTTCTAGATATTACAGTAAGAGAAAGCTGTTTAATCAACACATATTCTATAATAAAAGTCGTCTTGTTTATAAATTTTCAGGGGAAAAAATTAAGTTCCATGAGTACAAAGGACCGTAACATGTTTTTAACACCAAGTTTGGCCTTTTTTCGGAATGTCTTGAGTTATCTTATTATATTTTGCTAATTATTTTTAGAAAAAATAGAAAACTCCATTTGATCTGAAATTAGAATATTAAAAATCCAGACAGCAATTTGAATATTTTTTATATGTTTTACTTTCTACTTTATTATTTATACGTTTACTTATTTTCCTACAATGGTAAGCTTATTTTATTTAGAAACACAGTATAATTAACTGGGAGTTATTAAAAATGAATGTAAGTTTGCCTGTGTTTGCTTTAAAGCTCTACTGTATTATTCTATAAATACATAGAAATTAAAAAATATCACACACGTGTAAAAAATATGTAATTGAAACAATGAGAATTAAATAACTTATATTAAATGACTATGAATATATTGAATTTATCATGGTTTCAAAAAGTTTTTAAAAATAGTTGTCTTCGATTTACAGAAACAGAATTTCCTCATTCTTGCATTAGATATGCAAATTGATTGATTACCGTAGACATTGAGTCTGCTTATATCGTCTAAAACTCGATATGTGCCATCCTCAACATCGTATCGAACAGTACCTTCAAATATACCACCACTTGGTTTGGCACTTATTACAATCAAATAATCACCAGGGGCGTTTATTTTTTGGCCAAGAACGACGTGCCTATTAATAACATCATTCTGATGCTTGACAAATCGTAGGACCATATCATTTGCTTGCCCAAATCTAGCATCTAGAATTTTATCCATTTTCAACGGCACACAAGAGTTGGAAAAAGGTTTTAAAAGTTCATTAATTGTATCCATAAGTGCCAATGCACAGTTTGTAACAACAGGCTCTGTGATGGGTATTGGCTTATGAATTTGGCATGGGCACCAATGAGGCAAAATATTGGCCTGCTCACAAGTTCTTTCTTTAGGTATTGGATTCATGAGGCTTAAACCATTTGAACTCTTAATAGAAAGAGTTTCATTAAGCTCTGCTGTGGAATAATGTGTAATATTCAACAGATGTACAAGCGTTGCGTGTACATCAAATGGCGTTGTTAACCGGTCCTGGTTCTCGCGTAGGTTTTTCGCACGGTCAGGGTATTTTGAGAGAAACCATTGCGGAAAAAATAAATAAATAAAAGGCATCCTTTCTTCAAATTTACCAATGTATGTTTGTCTTATTGGTCCAAACCTTATTCCGTGATCACTAAACAATATCAATAAGCTTTTATTTAAAGCACCAATGTCATGGAGATCTCGTAAGAGATGAAATGTTGGCTCATCTGCATATCCTGCATTATTTAAGCTATCATGTGTAAGTCTAGCAACAAATGTGAAAGAAAAGTAAGGTCTATTTTTCATTGTTTTGACAAAGTCTTTAAGATAACTGTACAGAATATTCATTTCAAATCTTGATTGCAAACAATTAGTTCTACTTTCACGTCGAACTAGTGATTTTTCAACAGCTAAAGCAAAAGGACGGAAATAATAATCAGCTGGTGGATCACGAAAACCTTTTTTTAGATAATTAAACGTTGCTATATGAGGGGCGTCCTCAGCAAACAACGTTCGATATCCTCGACTAGAATAATTTTTCCATATAAAATCTACATCATCAAAAAACATATCTCTCACTGTTTCATTCCAATAATGTTCAATAAATTGCCCAGTGAGAAAGGGCACTAGGTTCGGGAATGTATTATCAGCTACTTTTGTATAACCTTTAAGTTCAATATATGCAAGGTTTTCCTTAATAAATCTGTGAGTCTTTTGAAAATGTCTCAAAAAGTTTAGTTTCGAAACGGAATCTATGCCAACTATTATTATGTTCAAATGATCTTCTTCTGCGTAGTTCTGATGCAACGAGCTTTTCTCTTTTTCAATGTCAGGCTTTAGAGGCACTAGAGGAATAAACTGGGTTAAATTTGGGTATTCAAACATTGTACATTTAACCATCAAGAAATCATCCTTTAGCGGCTTTTCAAAAATAAGTTGTTTTGGTTTTCCAAAATAAAATTTATTGTCAGTCCTTTCTTTTTCATTTCCGGGATCTCTAATGATGGGTCGATACGTGCAAGTCAGGTTTTGCTCATGAATACCATAGTAGAAATTCAACAAATGTTTGTCCAAGGCCACCATACCGTTTGGTCTCGAGCTCAAAAACTGAGGTCGGCCAGGGCATTTGTATGGAGAATTAACTTTTGTAATTAAGGATTGTACCGATGGATCAAAAGGATCCCAATCGGGAATCTGACAACCAGGGGTATTCAAAACAAAACCATGATCATCCACGAGCCATTTAATTTGTACAGGTTTAGATGAATCAGATATAATTTCGTCACCAGAGTAAGAAAGAAAGATAATTAATCCAAGAAGAGAAAATGTTGAGAGGATGACAAATGTCCGCCGCATCGAAGATCCCATAGATGTCAACTAGGAAGTTTATTTTCCAATGTTGATCGGCCGTAAGTATCTGAAAAATTTAAAATGTTAATATCAAATTTATACATTCATTCATTATTTCATGAAAACCATATAAAAATAGTATTATTACTCACAAATAATAAATATTTAATCACATTCTGCTTGAATGTTGTTCCAGTTAGCAAGATTTGAAAGATAAAATTAAAGCTTTTAGTAATAAAAAATTTCGGATTGAATTTAAAAGTTTGGTTCGAAAAACTAAGTTAAAATATGAAACGTATATTTTCTATTTTCTTGATTTTTTCTTTAATCATAATTCAGAAACATATTTAAAGAATTAAATTTCGTTCAAAATTTGTTAAAAGAGTGCATAATACGTAAAAGGGAGAAGCATCTCTCTTTTACACATTATCAGTCTTCAATGACTTTTAATAGCTTTGTTTCTGAAAACTTGAATACCAAAACATTCTCAGCCATGCTCAACGGGAGCAAATGTGTGCCATGTAGAATAAAATTCCTTTATATTTGTCACTTTAACACTTTGGTACTTTAGGAAATAGATACGGTTATGAAAATTCTTTCATATACTGTCTCCGTATATAATATTTTTGGAAGAAAAGGTTTGATAGACTGAAAAGTATACATATTTTACATTTAGCACACGAGAAGCTTAAATATTTCTTTTATAAAAAAATATTAGAGGGATATTCGCTCCATTTTGGGAAGTTATTATAGACGGAACAGAGGTCCTTTATGCAACTAGTGGACTTGTTACTCTTTTTAAAATAAAATTCAGAAGCTTTTTTTTTTTTTTGGAATCACATATTTAAAAGGATTTGATTAAAAATGAGTGGTACAATTCTCAACTCATTCCTCTTCTTCAATGAACTACTCCGTTCAAAATTTTTTTTGTAACTTACGTATTTTGCGTTACAAAATACTTTTACAAGGGGAAGTATAAATATAAAGTATTTATCAGAATAGATAAAGAGCACTTGTGTAAAAACTTATTTTGTCTACTTCATTTGAAACAAAAATAAATAAATATATATATATATATATATATATAGAACAACCACGTTACCTAATAACATGATGTAATCTAATGAGATAGCATGTAACATAACAACCATATGATAAATACATTAAACTTAAAGTGGGGTAAAAAATATTTAATTAATTCATATATTTTTCTTATCACTGTTTCATTTAAAAATCTTATTAAATTTATTTTCTGCTATTTTTTTATACTTTAATCGAATATAGGTCTTTAAAAAATGCATTTAATTTCCTTATTTATTTATTTCAATTTTGATGTACTTAATATTGCTTAAAAAAAGTGACAAATATTTTCACAAAATTTAGAACAGCAGAAAAAAAAGCTTAAAAAATTCCACACTTTCTCCCCTCAAACGAGTAANATATATATAAGCATTTAAAAGAATATGAATAAGAGACAATAGACAATAATAATCTAGCATTGGTAGTTTATTAATTACTGCTCTTAAAAAGCGTCCTTAGAACTTTTGTTAAAAATTAAGTAAGAAAAATACACGCATTAGGGGATGAAATTAATATTTAAAATTCGGAAAAACTGAAGAATCAACAACTGACGAATCACTTTTGAAGAAGGTTGGCTTGATTGCGCGATAAAACCAAAAGGAGCTGACAGTGATTATTGGAAATTCCCTATTATTAGCTTCAGTCAACAAGCAGACTGATTGCAATGTTTTTTTCACCCACCTTCTTTAAAAATTAATTTGTCAGATCTCTATAGCGTTTTGACTTTTCCTCCCCTTAAATATTAATTTGCTAATCCCAATACATGAACTTTAGACTTCATTTTTCAAGGATTCTAAAGATATGTATTAAAGGCGGTGATTACTTAACACCCTATACAATATCAAAACTTTCAGCATTCTTAATTACGCTAAAAAGTATGTTTTTAAGACATTATATAAACCTTTCGTCAAGTTTTAAATTCACTTTAAGATGGAGCTAGTTTTTAAGTTATTATGTTTAAACAGGGTAATTCAGTATAGCGCTTAGAAAATTTGAAGGGGAGGTTGGTCATATCATAACGACTGAGAATCGTATAGAGTTCCATGAGCACATCTAGAATCGCCTTCTCATTGTGAAGTGGCTGTTTGCACGTATTTGAAACCGTATTTTTATTTATCTATATAGACTTAATGTTAGGTTTTCTAGTAATTATTATCAAACATTTTTTTCATATGACCCAGAAATCACTATTTAATGTAATCTGAAGGTTTTAAGACAAACTTATCAAGCTCACAAAATTGGTTGTCAAATGATTAGATTACAATAAGACAGATATTTTTGGGTTCATTTAAATGTAATTTTCGAGAATAATAGCCAAAACACGTGAAATCAGCCAAAAGTTAAAATAATTCAGTTATTTTCTATGTTTCAACTGCACACGAACAGCCAGTTCATAGATGGGAGGATTTTGCAGCTGGGACATTTCCCGTCGTAGGTTGCTATGTAATTCTCAATCAATATGATGTATTCTATCTCCGTTTGAAACCATAATAAATAATTACTTTCAATAGTGTTGATTAGAAAAATTAGAAGAAAAAAGTTAGTTCGAAATTGCTTTTCTAAGTAATCAAATATAGGCATAACTAAAATGCCATTACATATAAATGTGTTCGCATATGCCTCTGACGTGCTTGTGATATGATCCTTAACCGAGACATAATAAATTTATTAACTTTTTAAAATAATGATGCAGCAGCTGAAAAGTATTTGAATACTTCATCAAAAATAAAAGCTTGCCATGGCGTGGTAATAAAATTATTTCCATTTTTGTTTTCACAACGTTTCTTGAAACTTTGAGAAATTTTTAGAAATGTAAATTGTCCTCACGTACCTTTTTCCTCCTACTAACATTTCTGAGGAACCTTTTTCTAACTTTCTAAAAAAATACCATTGTAAAAAATAAATAATTAGTAGACAGCTGCTTTGATAACTATTACAGCTGAATTTGTTTTGCAATAATAAATGCATCTTGCATCTATCGCAATTCTTTTCTCTCTAAAAAGCAGATGTTTGAAGCTTCATTTACTTTTCGTTGACATTTCTGAACATAATGGGCACAAACATTTCCGAGAAATTAACTCAAAGGTCTACACTGGAACTAATAAATATTTTCTTTTGCAAAATTATACTTTATTCATCTTATATTTTTTCTCTCTTGTTTAATAGCAATATATTCATTCCAACATTTCTCCTGCATTACGAGGAATTGTTAATAACAAATTGTCTAAAGTTCTGAAAAACTCTTTAATTTCTGATAGGACATTTTCATTTGTTCCTAATCTCCTTCTCTGTAGCATTTCTTTAAGATTTCCTAACAGGCAATGGGGGATAAGAGCCAGATCTGGAGAATACGGCGGGTGGGGTAGTTATTACGAACTCGTTTCATTCAGTTTTGCCATCGTTGCTATCGACAAGGTGAACTGTCTCGAGAATTTTTTTTATTTGCCATATGGAGCCTTTTCTTCTAGATTCCATCGAACCAAAACCGCTGCTAGTTATTTTTCCTTTTACACGGGGTCATACGTATTCAAAAATGCTTGCAAGAAATTTACACACTGACTTGTGAACTTTCGACAAAATTTTTACTTTAACTAATTTATATTTTAAACAGAAGTAGAACACAGCCGACCCAACTCTAATTTTACGACTATCAATGTTTAACTCTGCAGTCTTGTAATTTTGAACCTAACCCAGAAGACAAGAGAAATCCTAGATCAAGAATTGGTGCAAAATAGCCGTCGTGGAGGACTTTTTAATGACACTAACCCGCATTTGCGTTGCATGGAGAAAAAAAATCAGAAAAAACTCCCACGGTTAGTTCAACGGCAAGGCGATTCTTACCCATGATCCGTCTACCATTGAGGATATTTTACGTCAGCCCTGTGGCTGTTGCTAGCCCTCGAGCAGAATTCGTATAAACCAGTCACCGCTGGGGTTCAAACATGGTGCATCTTTTTGCAAGGCGAACGCTATGTATCCTGAGTCAACGCGGCCCAACTTCAAAACTTTTTCTTTATTTTCTTAACAGACTTTTTTCTTTATTATATTTAACCGACTTTTATTTTCTTTGAGTATCACGAAGTAAATTCGTTAAGTGCTTTAATAATCATGTAACTTTTGAATAATTTGAGTTTTCAAGTATATCCTTCTTTTTATAATCATACGATTTAGTTATATTTAACAATAAAGCTGTAATTTTCTACTTGCTCTTTGATCTTTGAGGCTCTTATCTTTTAATTTATGGATGGTTATAGATAAAAAATACTAAAATAAAATGATTGAAATATTCTTAATTTTGGAAGAATTGGACGAGGTAAATGGTAATATTTTTCGGTTGGTAATTGCTCGTAAGCCATTTAAGTAACTAGAAAGCAGTAGCGAATATTTGAACCGTGGAAAGAAGAGCAGATTGGAGTCACGCTACTTTTAAATTACGATAATAAAAGTGATTTAACGTTAAAAAGTGCATTACGTTCCTGATTATGCTTTTAAAGTTTTATTCTTTTAGTATCACGTTCTAAGTAATTATTTAAAGACAATAATTTGGTAGCTCAAATAATTTAATTAATAAAACTAGAAAAGTCATAAATACGCATTTCAAATTCGATAAATAGAATATCAAAAATCATGTAGAAAACTTTCAGTTTCATGCCTAATGTTGCTTTACATTATAGAGAAAATTCTGTTCAAATTTTTGGGCAGAACTAGGTCTGTATATAAATTATTCGATAGAAAACTGACTCGCTTAAAAGTTTCATGATTTAAAAATCGAATATGAAAAGGAGAAATGAATTTTTATTAAATTTAGTAAGATATGCTTGGCTAAAAATTTTGAATTTAGCCAAGGTTTATAGGTGAGGTCTATATATAAGTTATTTGGAAGAAAAGTGAATCGTTTAAAAGTTTTATGATTTAAAAACCAAATATGAAAAGGCGAAATTAGTTTTTCTTAAATTTAGTGAGATATGCTTGACTAAAAGTTTTGAT